AATCGAGAGAATTTGCCCCTTAACATATCTTCAAGTTATAACTAAAAAAAATCTGCCTTTAATTCAAAACTATTTAAATAGATTACGTTAACTTTTAAAGTTTGTTATGCTATTTGAAAGCTGTAAGAAACTACTGTAGGGATTTAAGTAATAAAAACGTGTCCCCCACGTTTTCTAAATATAATGAGCCATTACCTACAGCTGTCAGCACAGTACCATTTTACCACAATTTCATGCCTCCCTTAAGAGGTCATATAAAACACCTACTGTATGGGACAACCTCCTGAAACCATTAATACATTGGGACCAGTTGGTAACCCATACAAAGCGGTTTGACTTGTTGATCCCTTAATGTTGACCCTTAAAATGACCTTTTTATGGAGTTAAGGAAGTGAACGTTCTATAAATATATTACCCAATAGATAAACATTTTCATGTAAAAGAAATTTATTAGATTAATATTACGAGCCCAATTCTAACTACATACAAGACTTTAGAAAGAAAATACAACACCTAGTGTGTCTACAATAAGAAATAGAAAACAGTAGAAACAAAGAAAATATCAGAAATAATAAAATATGCCAATTGTAGTTACAGTTTGAAAACTTATTAAACTGTCACTACTGGTATAATATAGAGAGTGTAGGGTAAGGTGTTTAAGGGTTTGGTCATATCTCAATATTCCTATAGCTCTAACAAGTTTTCTGTGCTAGTAACCATCCAGGACTTCGATCAAATCTATTGTCAGGTATCTTACTGTATTCAATGTCATACAAATAACAGACCTTCGTTTTATAATTGTCAAGTGTTTTACATTCCTTCATCGCCCTACACTTCTTTTTACACTCCTCCAAATTTATATCTTCTGTTGCAAAGATATATGGTTTTTCGTACAGAACACAGAAAAATGTTCTGTCTTCACTAGTCAAAGGTTTGTGTACCCGAAATGTGCTACATTTGTTATTATTCTCACATAATGGTTTGCATCCATCTTTGGATTTAACAAGAGTTAGATTCAAAATCTGATAATTCAACATTTTGTCTTTTGTAATATTATAACAATCTGAAATAAATACCATACTCACATATAATTTGTTATACTCAAAGATTACACTCTAGATGTTTTATCTTGTGTGTTTTTACTACTGTCGTTCCCCATCTTTAATAGTACCCTCATCTTCACAATGTCAAACTATTGCGAACAAGAAAGGTGGCTATTGTAGTCAAGGAATAAAACGATGTTCGCAATACCTTGACCATTGTGGGGTGTCGTACACGCTTAAACCACACTAATGGCGACCTTAACACGCTTTGTTCTAATTTCCAATCGTAGTGACAGCGCAGTGAGAACGTCTTTCTGGTGTGACGGAGTCAACAGAGAACAGTCAAGAGAACAGTACAATAACTTCCCAGTCCAAAGATGCAGCTTACCTTCTTTTTCTCCATCAGCAGACTTTCGGGTACGTGAATGAGGTTTAGGGCTGGCAACGTGTAAAGACACAACACACAGTAAAACAATTACCAACATCAAATTAGAAGAGAAGAGAAACGTGGCAAGCTAGAATTAATCGTTAAAGTGGCTCTCTCTGGGTTTGAGTAAAAACGACTAAAAACTGCATACACAGTCTTAATTGGCACGTTAAGTTTTGATATAAAATATATGTTGTAATGCGTACGAGAAGCCGGAGAAGATATTGAACTAACTTCACTTGGTAGCTATGGCACACAAGGTCAGTAGCGTGTTGGCCAGCATGTGCGTTGACTACTGCCACACAACGACTGTAAATGGACTTTTTCATTGCCAGAGAACCACACAACGGATTGTAATTCAGAAAAACCTCAATTTGATCCCTAAATTAGATACAGTAAAACGATGGGCGTAAACTTTTATATATTATTTATTGAACAATAGTTAGATTTGTATAAAGAGGAACACTGAGGGAGATATAAAAAATGTCCAATGTTAAGGGAAAATATTCAATGAAACGATTCATATAAGGTTGGGACTATGTTTCATTGCGGTAAATGGCAGAAAATCGTCTAAAGCAGAGATGGTGGTGACAAGCGTTAGCCACCTTCTTCTCTGTATACTATTATAGAGAGACACGACTATTGATACAAAAAGATGCCTGTGCCCGAATGGCTCCCCTGCTAAGAGTCACCCATATTGCCAAGAGTCACCCACCCTGATAAGAGTCACTCATATTGCCAAGAGTCACCCACCCTGTCAAGAGTCACCAACCCTGCTAAGAGTCACCCACCCTGCTAAGAGTCACCCATATTGTCAAGAGTCACCCACCGTGCTAAGAGTCACCCATATTGTCAAGAGTCACCCACCGTGCTAAGAGTCACCCATATTGTCAAGAGTCACCCACCGTGCTAAGAGTCACCCATATTGCACAGAATCGCCCACCCTGACTGAAGGCATCCACTCTGCAAAGAATCATCCACCCTGCCAAGAGTCACCCACCCTGCTAAGAGTCACCCATATTGCCAAGAGTCACCCACCCTACAAATAATCACCCATCCTGCACAGAATCGCCCACCCTGCCTTAGGGCAGCCACTCTACAAAGAATCATCCACCATGCAAAGAGTCACCAACCTTGCCAAGTGGAATTGCAGGAACTACAGACGTCTGATTGAAAATTGGACTGGTGAAAATTGATGGTATCAGTCTCCCTGATACACATATAGAATTTAGAAAACCTATTTACAATCTCATTTATAATTTGATCAATTGTAAGGAATAAGCTTGTTTAGATTGATAGAAAATAAACGCCAATATTTGGCCACAGATTGCGCAATATTGTATTCTGTTGAGAAATTTCCTTTCATTAGTGCAATAAATAAAAAATATAATGTGCCAGCTTGGAAACTTAATTAAACTGTCACTTCTGGTACAATATTGAGGGGGGGGGGGGATTCAGGGTTTGGTAAAATCTCAATAATCCTATATCTCTAGCAAGTTATCAGTGCAGGCTTTCGTATCAAGGTATCGAGATACCTACCTTGAATATAGATCTGATATTACGCATATCATGTTTATCTGTTACCTACGTTGAATATAGATCTGATTTTAGAGATAACAAGTTTATCTGTTACCTACCTTGAATATAGATCTGATGTTAGAGATAACAAGTTTATCTGTTACCTACCATGAATATAGATCTGATTTAAGAGATAACAAGTTTATCTGTTATCTACCTTGATTATAGTCTGATTTTAGAGATAACAAGTTTATCTGTTACCAACCTTCAATATAGATCTTATTTTAGAGATAATAAGGCTATATGTCATCTACCTTGAATATAGATCTGATTGTAGAGATAACAAGTTTATTTGTTACCTACCTTGAATATAGATCTGATTTTAGAGATAACAAGTTTATCTGTTATCTACCTTGATTATAGTCTGATTTTAGAGATAACAAGTTTATCTGTTACCTACCTTGAATATAGATCTGATTTTAGAAATAAGATGTAAAACTGGAGTCAGTAATAATCAGACCAATATAATGTCTATCAGGGACTAGGTAAGAGTATGT